TGGTGGGTCTTTGGTGAGTGTGGGTGTGTTGTGAGTGAGTGTGTGTGTGTACTTGTGAGTGTGTGTGTGTGTTTGTGAGTGTGTGTGTGTGTGTGTGAGTGTGTGTGTGTGTGTTTGTGAGTGAGTGTGTGTGTGTGTTTGTGAGCGTGTGTGTGTGTGCATGTGTGTGTGTGTGTTTGTGAGTGTGTCGGTGTTTGTGAGTGTGTGTGTGTGTGTGTGTGTGTGTGTGTGTGTGTGTGTGACTCACTGCCTTCGATGGGGTGCATTGTTTGGTTGGGGTTGTGCAGGAGCTCCATGGACATGTTGATGTAGTTGTTGATGCAGTTGTTGTTACTAAAACACACACCAGTTAGAAATACACAACATACACACACTACACACACACACACCAGAGAACTACATTAAATATATACATTATCATTTTATTAAATTAATCTATTCATTGTTAAAATTGCTTTTTATATTTCTACGTTTCTATTAACATATTTAATCTATTTTTCTCTCTTCATGAACTCATTCTATTTAACCTGTTTGAGTCTTTTTTATTCACTTTTCATATTTTCCAGATGTTTTTATTTACAAATTATTATTATATATATATATATATATATTTTATACTAATATTTTACTTTTACTTTTCTGTGATTTATTATTGTTTTTTATATTTTTTTAATTGGGCCATTCACATATTCAATCTATAATGTTCTTCTATTCATATTTCCACATTTGTATTTATATGTGTTATTTCTGACCTCAAGCCCTTCCTCTCGCTGAACATCAGGGTCTGATTGTCCTCCTGAAGTCTCATCTCTACATGGGAGCTGCTGAGGTTCTTCAGGAGGTCCTGACCATGTTGGTGGTCCAAAACCGACCAGACCAGGACCCAGTCCCCCAAAATCTGTAGACCAGCAGGGAATAATTAACATAGATAAAATGTTTTATGGTCTTATTTTAACAATGTGATCACATGACTCCTTCTGACTGACTAGAATGAGTTGACCAAAAGAAAAAAGTTGACCAAAAACATTTTGACTAAAAAAAAAGTAAACTACAAAAATTAAAAGTCAACTACAAAAAAAGTTGACTAGTTGACAATAACTGCCCACTGCTCCTGGTGCTAGACTCCTGGTGCTAGACTCCTGGTGCTAGACTCCTGGTGCTAGACTCCTGGTGCTAGGATGGGTTAACCGCAGAGAACACATGTCACTGTGTGCTCTGCATGTGAGACCATTAAAGAGGGTTTCATCCCTCCCATTCTTTCTTTCTTTCTAAAACCTCTTTAGTAACATACGTAGTATATATACATTTCCTTGACAAGAACTGAACAACTCTTCGTATTCTGCACAAAAATGTGTGTTATCGTGAACCAAAAGTCGTGATAGAGGCTTGCTTGTCAACATCTGGGTATTTCTGCACTGGTGGGCCATGTTAACAATAGCGTGTCCCTGTGACGCTCTGAGGGGTGAAACCGTGTCCTCCTGACGTCTCACAGCGTGGAGCAAAGTGACACACGTCTGTCCTGATACTGGGTTGATTTTATCATCTAAAAATATTTGTTTACTTTGCAAACAAAGTGCCACAATAAAGACAACTGTTAAACACAGAGAAATAACAAATCCAAATAAACTAATGAGAGCAGAGACGCCTCCTGCAGACAGACGTCAGTGTCCTGATGCGTTCAAGTTCATACTTTAATAGGAATTACTCCCTTTCTCCTGAAGGGAGACTTTTGGGCGTGTTAGCACCTGTGAGACACCGTAAAATAAATGATGGGTCTCACCTGCTGCACGTCGTCTTCGCCATACATCTTCAGGACCTGGCAGTGATCGGGGTCCACAGGCTTTTGATCCGTGTGATTGTGATCGTGATCGTGATCGTGATCGTGATCGTGATCGTGATCGTGATCGTGATCGTGATCGTGGTCTGGCTTCGCGTTAGCAACAGCGAGCAGCAGCGGCAGCAGCGCTCCCTTTAAGACTTTCATCCTGAGACACAAATCAAAAAACCAAATGCACCCTCTGGTATCTGTGAAGACACTGATCCAGGAGACGGCTGAACGGTTTATATACCGAGCTCCAGAGACCCGAGAGACCCCGAGCCAGGACAAAGTCTGTGTGCTCAGAGTGTTATTGAACTCTGATATAACTCCTGGCCCACTTTCTTAATGTGTAAAAAGGTTAAAAACACAGCGAGGCGGACAGCCATGGTCTCACGTCTCACATCTTATATCATATAGCAGTTTGTTTGTATGTATGTATTTGTGTATAGATGTTGCAACTATGCAGAGCTTTAGCAATACTGTATGTAACTATGGTCATGCTAATAAAGCTGTTGAATAGAATTGAATTAAAATGAATTGAATTGAAATGAATTGAATTGAAATTAATTGAATTGAATTGAATTGAATTGAAATTAATTGAATTGAATTGAATTGACTGCAGAGAAACACTGAACATCTGAAACATAAAATACAGCAGGAAGTTGTTACAACACATCTCTTAACAATAAACAATGTTTTTATATCTGCATAATTTCTGAAGCTGCAGAGTTTCTGGTGATGATGGAGAGGTCTGTCCCTGCAAGGCCACCGTAGAAACCGTTTCAAGATTATATTTGGTGTTACTTTTAAAAATAAAACACTAAAATAATCAAATAAAAATACAAAATAATCAAATATAAAAAATTGAGTTCACTTCATATTTTGGTGTGTTTTGTATTTTATTCCTATACCATATTTTTTATATTAATAAAAGTATGTTTATAAATGTTAAATGTTTAAATATGATGTGGCTATTTTTTGTATTATTATTTTTTATTTTGCAGCACACGTTTTGTAGTATAAAAAATTGAGTTCACTTCATATTTTGGTGTGTTTTGTATTTTATTCCTATACCATATTTTTTATATTAATAAAAGTATGTTTGTTTGTTTGTTTGTAGCCTTTATTTAACCAGGTTAAAAAATCCCATTGAGATCAACAATCTCTTTTTCAGGGGAGACCTGCGGTACATTAGTTACACATAAAAACAACAGAAAACAAAAGGACATCACAACATAATTACAGGGGTATACATTAGCAACCTATTTACAGTGACAGGTATCCAATAACATTTCATCCAGCCGTGCTTTAAAATGATGCAAGGGAATCAAAATGCTCAGTGTCAATGTTTTTTGCATAGTGTTCCAAGCTAGAGGAGCAGCGCACATAAAAGCTTTAGTACCTAAAACAGTCCTAGCACTTGGCACATGTAATAAGAAGACATCCTGGGATCTCAGGCAATAGCTACTTGCCACTCTCCGTGAGATCAACGAGCATATATAAGTCGGTAGTTTACCCAGCATGGCTTTATATATGAATATGTACCAATGACTGAGCCTCCGAACAGTAAGTGAAGCCAGACCTGCCTTGGCATACAGGGTACAGTGATGAGTAAGTGCTTTACAGTTAGTAACAAATCTCAGAGCACTGTGATAGGCGGCATCTAACCTTCCCAGGCAATGGGCAGGTGCATTCATATAGATCAAATCACCATAGTCTAGCACAGGTAAAAAGGTCACAGTGACTAGCCTTTTTCTGGCTTCAAAAGAGAAACAGGACTTGTTTCTGAAAAAGAAACCTAGTCTAACCCTCAGCTTTTTAAGCAGATTAGTGACCTGAAGTTTAAAAGTAAGACAATCATCAAGCCAGATACCAAGGTATTTATAACAGCTAACCACTTGGAGTACTTGTCCTTGCATAGTCACAATATCCAAAGCAGTCTCTGGAGTCTTTTTAGCTTTAGAAAAGAGCATTACCTTGGTTTTCTCAACATTTAAAAGAAGCTTTAGTTCAGAGAGCTGAGTTTGAATAATGTTAAAAACAGCCTGTAATTTAACAACCGCCTCCTTAATGGAGGGACCTGCACAGTACATCACGGTATCATCCGCATAAAAATGTAAAGTAGCTTCATCCACATTTTCACCTAAACTATTGATATAGATGGAGAATAAAAGTGGACCTAAAACAGAACCTTGAGGAACACCATTAGCAATGTTCAACCACTCAGAGGACAGCCCATCAAAGTGAACACATTGGGACCTTTCAGAGAGGTAGTTCACAAACCACCCCACTGCATGGCTGGATAAGCCAATACTGAGTAGCCTCTGCTTTAAGATGTGATGATCGACGGTGTCAAACGCTTTGGAAAGGTCAATAAATAGAGCTGCACAACTCTACTTTTTATCTAAAATACTTGTAATGTCATTCACCACTTTCATTGTGGCAGTGATGGTGCTATGTTGCTTTCTGAAGCCTGACTGATGTTTAGACAGGATATTATTTTTACATAAAAATACCTTTACCTGCTCACTCACTTGGCGTTCAAGCACCTTAGCCAGAACTGACAATTTCGAGATTGGCCTATAGTTATTTAAAACAGTTGCCTCCCCTCCTTTTAGCAAAGGCAGGACATACGCTGACTTCCATACTTTTGGAATTGTATTTGTGCTGAGGGAGAGGTTAAAAAGAGAAGTAAGAGGTGCAGCAATAAAATCTGCAGCTATCTTTAAAAAGAAAGGTTCTACGTTGTCCGGGCCAGCCGGTTTCTTAGGATCTAACTTAGATAATGCTTCATGAACAACATTTACAGTAAAAGGAGTAAAACTGAAAGGGTTTTCCAGACCACATTGTTCAGAGTCACAGACTGTGGTGTTCACAGAAGCAGAGTTAGTCACGGAATCAAACATAGAACCGCAGGACACAAAATGCTCATTAAAACAATTTAACATAGTGGCCCTGTCCGATATAGAGCCAGATGCTGTGGTAATGCACGGAGGTAGCTCATTTCGGATCTCACCGGTGGATATCGATTTTATGGCTTTCCAAAATTTCCTAGGATTATTTAGGTTTTCTGTAGTAACTGACAAATAGTACTTCGACTTAGCACTTTTGACCTGTGAAGTGAAGCTATTCCTTAGCTGCCTAAAACACAGCCATTCTACCTCTGAGCCTGATTTCCTAGCCTTTGCCCAGGCCTTGTTTCTCTCATGCAGGAGACTGGACAGTTCAGCAGGAAACCAAGGATTGTCTCGTCCCTTTACTCTAAATGTACGTAGGGGTGCATGTCTATCAATGATCTCCATAAAACCAACATACAATTAAGACCATGCAGTTCTACATCAGCACACAGATCGATTTTTACTTGACTTCTATATTGTTGACTCTGTTTTGCCGTTGTCTGGTGAAAGTGACACTGGTGACACAGTTCTGAGTTGGGGGATGGGATTAAAAGTTCTTCCTATTCCTGTTCATAAGGTGTATATTGACTGTGACCTTGTTAAAGGTGAAGTAGCTGTTGGTGTACATTCAGCTTTGCCAATCGAGGGGATACATTTTATTCTGGGCAACGGTTTGGCAGGTGGCAGAATCTGGACTGATGTTCCCCCTGCGCCTTTAGTGACTGGTGGTCTGATTGAGTCTGGGTTTGAGGAGAGCTCTACAGTGGTGCCAGAGGTCACGTCCTCCTGCGTGATCCCGTGTGCTATGGCCAAAGCTATGCTGTGTAGAAGCCAGAAGGCCAGGCATTGCTCCACTGGTCGGGGTGGTTGTGGTGGCGGCGGCTTTGATGGTGTTCGTGGTGGTGGCGGCTTTGATGGTGGTCGTGGTGGTGGCGGCTTTGATGGTGGTCGTGGTGGCGGCGGCTTTGATGGTGGTCGTGGCGGCAGCGGCAGCAGGGGTCGAGGACGTGGCAAGAATCTCACCGGTGGATATCAATTTTATGGCTTTCCAAAATTTTCTAGGATTATTTAGGTTTTCTGTAGTAACTGACAAATAGTACTTCGACTTAGCACTTTTGACCTGTGAAGTGAAGCTATTTCTTAGCTGCCTAAAACGCAGCCATTCTACCTCTGAGCCTGATTTCCTAGCCTTTGCCCAGGCCTTGTTTCTCTCATTCAGGAGACTGGACAGTTCAGCAGGAAACCAAGGATTGTCTCGTTCCTTTACTCTAAATGTACATAGGGGTGCATGTCTATCAATGATCTCCATAAAACCAAGATACAAATAAGACCATGCTGTTCTACATCAGCACACAGATCGATTTTTCCCCAATCAAACCCAAACAGATCATGAACAAAACCCTGCTCCACAAAATGTTTTATGTGTCTCTTAATAATAATACGAGGTTTAACCTTTTGGACCTTAGTGTCCCTAATTGTGTCTACAACACAGTGGTCACTCACATCATTTGCAAATACTCCCACAGATGAGTATTAGTAACATTAGTTAGAATGAGATCAATTAGGGAGGATTTATTAGGGGACTTAATGTTAGGGCGAGTAGGACTGTCAACAATCTGAGTAACATTCAGAGAGATACAAAGGTTTTTAAAATCCTCTGATACTGCAGTTAACCAGTCCCAGTTAAAATCTCCAAGTAGCACTATTTCCTTATAGTCTAGTTGCGATAAAAGTTTTGCTAGTGAAGACAAGGAGTCCTTGACAGCTGAGGGGGTCTGTAACAGCCCACCACCATGACTTGTTGCCCCTTTGCCACTTCTATATTTAAGGCTAAACATTTGAATTGCTTACTGATAGATTTGGAAACTAATGTGGTTACACTGAAGTTATTCTTAACATAAATGGCAACGCCACCACCTTTATTAGGCCGGTCGGTACGATACACATTATAACCATTTAAGGATATGTCAGAGGCCAAAATAGTTTTATTTAGCCATGTTTCTGATAACACAATGACGTCAGCGTCAGTCGAGCTTGCCCAAATGCGGACAAAATCTAGTTTACCTAACAGACTGCGCACATTCAAGTGGATGAAACCCAACCCAGACCTAGCTTTAAAATCAGCAGGAGTAGCGATCTGACTACTACTACTGGGCGGACCAGGGTTAGGTTGAACATTTCCTGACAGTAATAACAACAAAAAAAACAGGCATCTTTTCCTCTTAATCGACACACATACATTATCATCTACTTTAGAATCACCGGAAAAGTCTGCGAGAGTGTGATTAGAGTTTAAGAAGCAGTCCTGAAGTACCATCATCGCAGGCAAACAAAAA